TTTCTTTCTTTCTTTCTTTCTTTCTTTCTTTCTTTCTTTCTTTCTTTTTTTTTTTTCCCAAAATTCTGGCCAACCCTGATGGTTTAGCTCAGGGGTGTCCAACCTTTCACCTTCCCTGGGCCACATTAGAAGATGAAAATTTGGTTTGGGCCGCACATAATTAAATTAAATTAAATAATTAAATTAAATTAAATAATTAAATTAAATTAAATTAAATTAAATTAAATTAAATTAAATTAAATTAATAAAATAAAATAAAATAAAATAAAATAAAATAAAATAAAATAAAATAAAATTATTATTATTTATTATTAATTATTTATTAAAAATTATTTATTTTTATTTTATAATTTTCCGGCCAAATTTTGCGGGGGGGGGGGAAGAAAGCTCGCCCGCCTCACGCCTACCTCTCCTTCTGCAAATGCAGCAGCGGTGGCAGCGGCGGTGGGGGCAGAAGCAGCAGCGGGGGCGGCGGAGGCAGAAGCAGCAGCGGCGGCAGGGGGGGCAGAAGCAGCAGCGGCGGCAGCGGGGGCAGAAGCAGGAGGTGGCGGGGCGGGACTTTTGGGCTGCGACTGCCCACCTTTTCTGTTGCTCGCCTCACCCCACTTCGCGCCTGCCTCTCCTCCTCCTCCTCGCTGGATCTTTCATGAAGGTTGGGGTGGGTGTTGGGCCGCATTACGAGGCGACCTGGGCCGCATGCGGCCCGTGGGCCACGGGTTGGACAAGCCTGGTTTAGCTATTCCTTACAGTAACCATTCACTTGTGTAGAATTGTGTAGCAGCAAGCTTGTGTCCTCTTCAGATTTTTTTTCTCTGCTTTAATTTTTGAAGACTGCAAAATTCTAATCTCAAGCCTTTGCTTTTTTGTACCTAAAATCTGAAGTTAGGCAGATTTAAGAAGAGTTTAATACCATTTTCTATTGTTTTTCTGTTGATGAATCATTTTCCACCACAATAATAGAATAACACAGTTGGAAGGACTTTAGAAGTCTTCTAGTCCAACCCCCTGCTTATGCAGGAAACCCTATACCATTTCAGACAAATGGTTGTCCAAGTTCTTCTTTAAAACTTCCAGTGTTGTAGTATCTACAACTTCTGGAGGCAAGTTAACTTCTGATTAATGGTTCTAACTGTCTGGAAATTTCTCCTTAGTTCTAGGTTGCTTTTCTCCTTGATTAGTTTCCATTCATTGCTTTTTGTCCTGCCCTGGGTGCTTTGGACCTCAGGGATCACCAAACTCATAATTTTAAATCCCTGGGACCACTAACCGGTTCTGTGGGCATGGCCAATTTGTGGATGTGGCTTGGTGGTCATGTGACTGGCTGGGCATGGCTTGTATATAAGTAATATATGTTAGGGATATACACCCTAGCAGAACCTGCACGGCAGTCAGGCAGGCAGGCAGGCAAATATGTGAGACAAACGTTTTTGTAGCTTACACTCAGTAAAACAGATACAATGTGCTAGTTAAATAGTTTATTCCAGTAAGATTTTATAGCATAGTCAAACAGTCCATATATCATACACTAGTTCAGTCCGTCTGGGGATTATTCAGTTGCAAAGTCCAGTGTCGAAAAAGAGGTCAGTAAACTTACAAATATCAGTCCAGTAATATATCTCCTCGCAGTAGAGATATGAAGAAGTCAAACCTCCTTTCTTCCTTCAGCAACAGCAGAGAACACGCAGTTATCTTCAATCCATCATCGTCAGCAAGCAATCCAGTAAGCCAGCAATCAATCCAGTTCTCTTGCTCCCTCTTATGGCGATTTACAGCCGCACCCAAAATTACATGCTTTGCAGTTAAAGTGACACACACTTAAACTCACTATTATAGTCTGTATATATTATTTTACCCAAACTACGTTAGGTAACCTATGTTATTCCTAACAATATATATTTATATAAATATTGATTTTTGTATATATAAAAAAGAGCAACTTTAACCCAAAATCAGGCAAAGAAGGCAGGCAGATTGAGTTGCTCACAGAATCTCAGATCTATCTATCTGTCATTGGCTAGCTCAGTCTGTCACATAAAATTTGCTTGCAAGCAAACTCACAAAATTAACTTACAACACACCATGTATGTAAATATTGATTTTTTTTATTAAAAAAAGAGCAACTTTTACCCCAAATCAGGCAAAACAGGCAGGCAGATTGAGTTGCTCACAGAATCACAGATTCATTCAGTGATCTATCAATCTGCCATCGGCTACCTGAGTCTGTCACATAAACTTTGCTTGCCGTGAGTCTGCACTGAATAATAGAACCTTCAATCCTAAGGGAGGTTCAGCTGTGCTTAAAAGCAGAGCCGAAGATCTAAAGATTAGCTAGAAAGCAAGAAATCCAACCATTTCCTGCTTCCTAACTAATCTAAATTTCCCAGCACAGCAGAAGAGCTGATGGTTGGCAAAAGGAAAAATAGCAACTTAGCAGACAAGTTTGCTGGGTAAGGAGTGAGTGGGCGGGGAAGGTTCCCGCGGGCCAGGTGGGCGGCGCAACCTTGTGTTCCTGCCTGGATTAATTGCTTTGGGGAGGTGCTCTAGGGGTGACATTTCTCTGCAGCCCACCAAAATTTTCTCACGGCCTACCAGTGGGCCACAGCCCACCGGTTGGCAACCACTGCTTTGGAGAATAGCTTGACTCCTGAGATATTGAAATATTGCTGTCATGTCAACCCTAATCCTTCTTTTCATTAAAATAGACATACCCAATTCCTGAAACCATTCTTCATGTGTTTTAGCCTCCGGTCCCCCAATCATCTTTGTGAAATTCATTGTTTTTAATTACACAAGATTTCCAGGACTATGGAGATTTTTTTTATAAGATTTCTGTTCTGTGCTACGTCTTATTGGATACTGAATCAAATCAGTACAATGTCTTTTTCTTTTTGTACCACATGTTAGGTAGTTCATTTTATCATCATATAATAAATTATACTTTGTACATATGAATACAACTGTTTACATTGGAGCCAATATTAATAAAGACATTCATGTTTGGTTAAATACTTAGCTTTTAAATTAAATCTGTAATTTGCCTCTTGCATCGGATAAAAGCCAAAACGTTAGTAACCGCTTCTTTCTTATATATATACATACATATCTATGTATATGTATGTGTGTGTGTGTGTGTGTGTGTGTGTGTGTGTGTATATATATATATATATATATATATTGTAGTTATAGTTAGTTATAGTTATAGTTATAGTTATATTTTTATATATATAATATATATAAACAAAAGCTTTCTAATCCTAAAACGCATCTTGGAAATGTAATAATTCATATACTCATGGGAAAGGCATGAGTCTATATTGCTTATAGGAATAGCATTTTTGTCATAGAGCATTTTATAACTTTAGCATTATAATTAATGATATATAGTGGCACTTACATTTAGCACAACTAAAATCATCAATTTTAAAGCACTTTACTGAATGAGTCTGCTAAAGTATGGGAAGGCTTGAATGATTTACCAAAGATTATAGTAAAGGCTATTTAAAAGAATGGCAATAAAAATCATAACAAATTTGTTTAATATTATAAATTAAGTTTGCCACTATATTTTTTCTTGCAGTAGACATTTCTTCCAAATGGACCTGAAGTTACATGTGAGATTTACTATAGCTCAAATAGCTTTTAGGGAAAGGGAAATATTCAGATGAGTTATTCATTATACAAATTGATAGGTAAAATTTGCCTTGAGGATATATTACCTTGATTAAAATTATTCCTTAGTCAACAGCTTCTTAGAATATTAGCATTACTTTATGTACTAGTTAATTGCTTTCAAGCAGATTGAAATGAATATTTTAATATGCATTTTAGCTAGCATTTACTTCACTCTTTTCAGAGTTACACACTCACTTTTCCTATCAAATTTATTTCTATCTTATCCCAACTTATGTTCTCAAACAAAGATACAGAAGGGAAGGAGAGTGGGTAAACTAGCAAAAGACCTTATTAAAAGGAATGTAATGATAAAAAAAATGGAAATAAAATATAGTGTCAGCTATGGAATCTTGATTCATCACTGCCACATAGCTGGAGAAAGTGGGGGGGGGGGGTTGATGTTAACTGAGTAGCTCTTAGTAGACAAAATATAATTCTTTAGTTAGTTCAAGGTTAAAGAGTTTGGCTCAGAAAGAATTGGAACTTACTTTGGGATTGGTTCATGTGATGTGATGATGAGTAAAAATGGGGTGGTTTGTAGGTTGGGACAGTATGAGAAGTCCGGGGAAACTTAGTTTCGGAATTCCACAGATGTGCCAGGTTCTGTTCTAATACAAGTACATTGAGATCATGTTTGACTTGGAGTTACTGACAGGAATGGATGTTCCCTGGAACACTGACAGTAGGATTTCTGCTTTCATCAAAATTAACTCATCTGATGAGTATCTGCAAAGTCAGAATCAAAAAAGTCAAAAGCTCTGGACTTTGTATGTATGGGAAGCTGACACGTGTACAAAAATGGTGGGACTTTGATCATGTTGCCATGAGCACTATCTTCACTTTTTTGATCTCCCTGCATACATAGCTAAGAATTTTATAAATATTTTAAAATCCAGGCCATTGCACAGAAATATTGAAGTTAGTTGTTTAAAGATGCTTAGATGTCTAAGGCAAACTAATTTATATTTTTGGAAAAAGAGCTATGGATTAGAACAGAAAATATATTGTGGCATACCTGCATAGTTGGTAGGTTCAAGTTTATTATTTTTTAAAGAAAATATATTTTGTTTTATAAAACCTGAACTGTGTAGATGCTAGAAAAGAGTTCTGCTAAAAGAATGGTTGCCTATTTCCAAATAAGTGCACTGATTATTTCCAAGTGAAGGTGTACAGAAACTTGAAAAAAGTCTTGAAATAACTTTGTTACTGGCTTATGATATGTTAAGCTTATGGTATATTAATATACAGTATATCCTGGGAAATTCTATATCCATACATGCTCATGCCTGTGCTTCAAAACTCTTTACTTGCAAGTACTAGCAGAAGAATGTGAGATTTAAGCCAACCTTCCTGAAATCCTGGAAAGCTGCTACCAATTCATTGTGTAGACAATGAACTGGAAGGTCAACCAATTTAAGTAAATATAGAAAGGCTTTCTGGGTTCCTTCCAGTTTTTTGAGTTGGTGTACTACTGTAATTGTAGAATTACCTGCCTTGAATGAGCTTGGCTACTCCAATTCTGCATGTTTCTGGATTTTACATCCCAAGCTTTATCAAAAAAGTAAATGCAATTTCTCTTTCTTCTGTTCTTTTATTGCTGCTTTTGTTGTGGTTCTGCCTTGTTTAAAATTTAAGTTATTTTTATATATAATTGTAGTTTTTATAGTGTGGTGTTGCAAAAGAAAATACTTCATTTAAATCAAAAATGGAGAAGTACATTTTTTTTGAGGACACAACTTATGCAATGTATTTGCTGAACTATGTCCAAAACTTGATAGAGATAGGAATCACTATACTTCAACTATTGCTATTCCAATTAAACTTATATTTGGAAAACTCAATATATTCAATAGAAAATTAACTTGTTCTTTTTCCCCTCCTAATGTGCATAAAACAACATAAACGTTTTTGCAAAGCACTGTAAATTGCTATAGTATGTATTCTATACCTCAGCATACTGTAGTGTTTCTCCATAATGGACTAGATGGAGTTCACTTCATCAATACAGTAAATAGAAAATGAACATGGAGAGAAGAAAATATATAAATTATAGTTTGCAATAATTCAAATGCTGTATGAAATAGTTTTGGGTTTATTTATTTTTTTAGCCAAAAGCTAAATAGTCTAAAAGCGGAATAAAAAAGAAATTATTACAAAAAATTGTTAAAAATTTCAGCTGAAACTTTTAAAAATATATTGACAGCAAGGATCTGCTAAAAATATCAACTGGTATTAATATTTCAGAAAGAGCCAATCTGGTCTAGTGGTTAAGGAACCTTTCTAGAGAACCAGGAAATCCTGAGTACCTGTCTCACCTTAGGTATGAAAGTCAGCTGTGTGACATTGAGTCAATCACTCTATCTCACCCCATGACATTAATTTTGGGTGGCAAACTGGTCAGTTAATTCGTATTGCAACCAGTGGATCAACAGTTGCTCTAAAGAATCATAGAATCCTAAGGTTGGAAGGAACCTTAGGAAGGAGGAATTGTAGTATAACCCTCACCCAAAGCAGAATACCTTATGCCATCATGGACAAATAATTGTTCAATCTTTCTTAAAAAAAACAAAAAACCTCCTTTGATTGATAACCCACAACTCTGGCAGGTGAGATGTTCCATTGATTAATTATTATTAGTGTCTCCTTAGTTCCAGTTTGCATCTCTCCTTAACCAGCTTCCAATTGGTTCTTGTCCTATCCTCAGGTGCTTGGAGAATAAATCAACCTACTCTTGTCTATGACAGCTCCTCGAGTATTGGAAGACATTATCATGTCACCCCTAATCCCTCTTTTCATTAGATTGAACATACCTAGTTCCCCCACGGTTTATCATATGATTTAGCCTCCCAACCCTTTGTCATCTTTGTTGTTCTTCTCTCCACTCTTTTTAGGATCCCATCATATTTTTTGTATTGTGATGACCAGAATTGGATGCAGTATTCCAAGTGTGGCCTCAATAGTCCAGTATAAAGCAGTACTATCACTTCTCATGATCTTGATGCTATCCCTCTGTTGAGGCAGCCTGGGACTGTATTGGGTTTTGGCAGCTGTAGCACACTACTGGCTCATACTGAAGTAGTGGCCTGCTAAGACATCTAGATCCCTCTTACAGTTACTATTGTTGAGCTAGGCACTGTCTATTCTGTACCTATGCCTTTGGGTTGTTGTTGTTACCGTTGTTGATGTTGATTTGCATAAATTCAGGATTTCCATAAATGGTTGACTCTCCAATTGTGGAAAAACACTAGGAGAAAAAAAACAGAAATCCCATAATCTGAGCAAAGGCTATGGGACTTGCAAAAATTGGCCTAATTGGCTTTTTTTGTTTAGAGAAAAAATATAGATAATATTTATTGCTGACTGGAAACACCTCATGGATTTTCTTTTGTTAAACAGAGAAAAATGAACTAATGTTTTTTATTATTTTATTTATTCATTTATTCAATTTTTCATGCCATTCATCTCTCCTCTAAGATGACTCTTGGTGGCTTACAAGATATGAAATAAGTTAAAAAATAATTAAAACATTAAAACTACACAGATTATGATCATAAAATTGTACTGAAACCAGAACCAAGAGACAAGGATGAGGTCTTCTTACCCTGAGGCCTTCTTACCTTCCAATGGTAAGCGCCTTCCCTTGGGGTTTCAGGCCAACCAGCAAAGCCAACTTTGGATACCATTTGGGAAGGCAAAACGTTTGGGAGCAATTTTCACCTCCGGTGGTAGAGTATTCCACAGGAATAGCTCCAAACAGAAAAGGCTGTTCTCCATGAACCTGCCTCCTAGGATTTCTTATTCTTTCTCAGTAGCTGGCCTCTTCTTCTGGGACAGCTAATTTATAATTTTAGTGATTAGACAATATAGATTATATATAGACAATATATATAGAATTTTGAAGTAATTTTAGGAAATAATAGTTTAGCGAATAGAAGATTTATAATAGTATCTATCATGGAAACCACTTTTTTTCTTCTATTTTTCATTGACTTTGTCTTTTTTCTTGCACTTTTAGCTTTTCTTTGATTTAATTCTTTTTCTTTTTTCTTCCTTTATATTATCTTATATATATTCATATGTATATGAAAAAATATAATCTGTCCATTTTTAAGTATGTTGTGTGTCTGTGGGACTAAGTTGAATGCAACTTTTCTTTATTGAAAAGCAAGGCTATTCCATATAGCCAACACTTGTTTTCCTTTCACTTTTCTTCCTGACCTTGACGAAGCAATAGATATTTTACGATCAACAGTAGTTAAAATGCATCAATACATTCTTGCCTAGAAAAAACGCAGTGCTACTTCACTGCTTCCAGATGATTTTTTTTGCTATTTTTTTGACCATTTGCCATTACTAAGTGAAAAAAGTTCATAAATCAACTCACCTACTCACTGCTATTTTTGGTTCTTTTTTTATTTTATTAAAAAAAATACAAAACTCCAAAAACTTTAAAACACAGAAACAAACAAATGAAGAAAAACACAAAACAAGACATTTAAAAGTGCATTAGAAAAACTAATACATATATAGATATTATCATCCCTTAGCTGAATACTGGTACATTAGTTTCCCACCCCCATATTTTTAAACTATTCTATTTACAAATTATTAACCTGTCATCCGTATATGATATTAATCCCAAAACAGTTAATAAGAGTAATAATATTAAACATGAAAAATTACAGTTTCAGAAACTCCTGTTAGTAACTGTTATTGTAATCAACTCATAGAAAATTTAGCAGGGCAACTTATCATACTAAAAGTTAACAGTAACTTGTCCTGGATCAGAAATCCACCTTTGTTTCTTAATATTGTCTCTTATCAATTCTTGTCTCTTTAAATATAATAAATTCAATCTTCAAAGCTGTTCTATCTTTTTCAAAAAAAATCTATCTCAAGATGGCTGCTGAACAGTAGGAATTTTTCTTTTTCCTGCCGACAATCTTCCAATTCTGATGCCAAAGCTGGCTTTCTGGCAGTGCTGATCACTGGATTTGAATGGAAAGACCCAAGACAGCTTTCAGACAGCCAAGGACCTACCAGGGAAAGGGAATCTTGAAGATTCCAGTTCTCTGTGGGAGCAGCCAGAAAATCACTAGTCATCCATCTTCCTCTTGGCATTTCATTTTCTTAAGCATATCTTCACTTTTGGATTTTTTGTTTTATTTTCCTTTTTATCTTTAAAAGTTGACCAGCTGGTTGAATGATTTAGATTTATTTTAAACCCCTGCTGGATCTTATCTGTTCTTTTTCTTCTTTTTCTCTTCGATTTATGTTGTTTTGAAATCTTTTGCTTTTTCGTAAGGAAATACAGCATGTTCTTGGATAGTGAAAGGGACTTCATTTGATTTATATCTATACTGGACTCTCATCACAGGTTTTTTGCATTTCATTAATTTTCAAAATATTTGGAGATTTTTTTTAAAAAAAATTATTTTAACTTTAGATTGAAATATTCATAAAATACCTTCCCTGGAAGTTAGTTAATACAGCAACAGGATATGCTTTTTGGTCTACTCTCTGCTTTGGCAATAGATGTCTTTTCTCATTGGACCACACAGCTGAAGTAGCATCGGAGCCCAACTAAAACACCATCTCAAAAAAAAAAGTGTTTTATTGAAACCCACCCCTAGGTAGATTTAGTTGAGACGCTGCAGCAGACAGTGGGTGTTTACTTATGACTTTACTGCTTA